GGTGGCAAATACGGGCCAATCCATCTCCGTAGTAACTTGCACCTTCTCCCTACAAATGTGTTGTTAATCCATGGAAATCAAACTTCTCCGTGGAATATTGCCGTTGTACTGTCACGAAAAGCCTTTTCTCCGTACAAATATGCATGCAGTTTCTCCGTGGAAACACGCAGCTTTTGCTGCAGCGGTACCTATAATGTAAAATAATGAAAAAAATTTTTAGAACTCAAATTTTGTGAACCAGGGGGGTGTGCCTTTTCCAACAAACTAAAAATGGCTCGCGCACAAAAGCTGTAATCATATTTTGAGTTAATAGATGGAAAATTGGTCCGGTTTTTAATTACAGTACAAAATTTCACACAATTTGGTTTAGTTTAAGCTGTTTAACTATTCATTTTGTTCTAAAAAGTCAGCCTTTCGCATGCTTAATTAATGCCTTTACCTAATTTGCATATTGCTGACATATGCAAATTAGGCAAAGCATTAATAATATTAAGCATGCAAATAGCTGATTTTTAGGAAAAATGTAACTTTGCGTGAATAGTTAAGGGGTTTAAACTACACCAAATTGTCTGAAATTTTGTACAGTAATTAAAAACCCGACAAATGTTCTATCTGTTAACTCAAAATATGATTGCAGCTTTTAAATATTGTGCGCGAGCCCTTTTTAGTTTGTTGGAAAATACACCCCCCTGATTCACAAAATTTGAGTTCGAGAAATTTTTCTCATTCTACATTATAAGTACCCTGCAAAGAGGCTATATAAATAAAAAACCGGATACAAATAGCTGTTTTTCGAAATTGAGAGCAATTTTAAATCTGTTCAGTTTTTTTTTATACACCCTGTAGATATAATAATTAAATATACTCAAACTGATGCATCCATGTTCATGTTATGAGTGACCGGGAATATGCTTTGGAGTTTGGCCAAGGGGGTTATGTTGTGGCCACCTGTCTAAAGTAATTGCAACCTGAGCAGACATACCCATGGGACATAATTTATAATACTAGTCAGCAAAGTTGTATGGTGTTGAATAGAGTTAGTAAAATATTTCATTGATATTATTTCATTGATAACATTCTTGTACTGAAGGAAAATGCTGCTTAAATATTGATAATAGTAATTAGTCAAGACATACTATATTCTCCAAACGTACTATTATTCATGACATACTATTATTGTTTATGATATATTCAAACCAGACGAAACACCAATTTAATTTCAATTGTTTACATTTATTAATTACAGAGGAGATCATTCAACATTACTTCCATCGTGGTTTTCCTTATGATGTTATACTAGACTTTTTAAGCAAACATGGGATATCGTTTAGTTTACGCACTCTCAAAAGACAACTTCGGAAATATGGACTGAAGAAAAGAAACAGTGATGTAGATGGGAAGACAGTACGAAATATGGTTAGAAGTGAAATAAAATGGCCAATGGAGAAGAACAGTCTGGGTATACCGTACAATTTGGCACGCACTCCGACTGATTCATAATATCCACCTGCCACTGGTCGCAGAAATTCTTCAGGAACTGGATCCTGAATCAAGCAATGCACATTGATCTAGAAAATTGAAAGAAGAAAATCGCTCGCCCGGTGTGGATATATACACTCATGCAGAGTAACACCACAAACATCATATTCACCTGAGTACAGAACACTAAACACAGAAAAAATCATATTCACAAGATTACACTAGTATAGAAGGAACTAGATTTTGTTCCGAAATATCACTTACTCGAACCGCCCTGACCGCGTAGCTCAGTTGGCAGAGCATTGGGCTAGTATTCCAAAGGTCGTAGGTTCGATTCCCACCGTGGCCAGGCATATTTTTCAAGCTCGCCCGGTGTGGATATACATTCAGAGTAACACCACAAACATCATATTCACCTGAGTACAGAACACCAACACAGAAAAAAAAAAGAAAATACTTGTCCCCATGTCCAAATTATTGTTGGCATGCACCAGGTGGGGCAAAAAAGTACGACTGTTTCAATTGCTGAATAATCAAAACTAAAAGAGCAATGACCCTAAAACAAGTTTATTGGCATTCAGCGATATCCAACTTAAATTTTGATATATGCCATGCACATTTCGATGCCATATTGACAAAGATACATGCATTTAAACAGGTGTAAACATTTTTGGAACTGACGGAATTAGCTAAAAATGGCTTATTAAATATCAATACATACAACATGCAATAACTTAATGTGTTGAGACGCATTATACTTTATTGTCAGTACGTTCGCGCTTGTGGTTAAAAAACAATCGTCCATATTCATCAGTAACTGCATGTCCCCCAGTACGAATGCAACATCTTGCCTGTGAAATCATACAGTCGAAAGAATTTTGGATCATTTGCTGTTTCAAGTTGCGGCGTGCTGTAGCAATCGCTTCACGAAGCTCTCTCAAATTGTGCTTCAGAACCGGAGTTATTTGAATCGCACATAGACTTGTCCCAATCAATTGGAGGTACTCTCTCGTGCCGAGATTTCCTTCAACAAAGTTTGGAACTAATTGAAACAATAATCGCAAGAAAATGGTAAAGGTTGTTCATTTGGTTTTAATAGGACCTTTTCAGCTAATTCTCGGCGATTTCAAAAATGTTTGCTTAAGTTTAAACACAGTTATCTCAGTCAATATTGCATGATAAGGTACAAGACATATATCAAAATTTAAGTTAAACATCGTGGAATATATGGTGACTTATCCCCGAGCCGGCGGCGCGAAGCGCCTTGCGAGGGTACTAATTCCCCCCGGCTATTTACACCCGGGGAAACGAAAGCATTAGCGAAGTCTAAAGTTCATCAATGAGCGCGGGCGTCGGTCACCAACGATGGGTGGTCATCCCCACTGATCTCAAAAATATGGCGGACTGTCATGAATAACGGACACTGATTGGTCCAATTTAAAGTTTGCATTATAACGACTGCATGACGACAGCGAAATAGCAAACATTTCTTGATTTGATGAGTTGATGATTGATAAATTTCTTGCAAATATTTTTCATTTTTGCTCGTATTTCTGCAAGATTTTGTAAATTTCAAGAACGAAAGGGCGAAAGAATCAGCTAAAAGAAGTGAGCCGACGTTAACGAAGGTAAGTTTGTTTTAAATATTGATTTTATAATGGCTTTAAAACCCGACGGCCTTTGCGTATATGAAACAACTAAACAAGACAGCATATAATTTCAGTGTATCTTTAATATTGATTCCATTTTTTATTATATTGATTTTTTTTAAATAAAAAATAAAGCAAAGTCATTTGCAAGCGAGAATTTGAAATCATTTTATTGCAAACTCAAAGTTTATCGATAAAGCCATTTAATAGTTACAGGCAGTTTAGTTTTATAAAGAACACTTTAAAACGTTTTGTGAATTGTTTGTGGTTGAATTTTACCTTAAATTGAAGCTTGTATTACGTATAATTACATACCTAACATATAGATGTTGGGAAATTGATAATTTTGTAATTAAAAGTGTTTTTTTAGACGATTTTCATTTGTAAGAATAGTCTTAAAAAATTATCGTGTTACCATGACAACTACTTTAGATACTTTATGTTCGGAAAATACAACGGTTTTGTCAGCAAGGCGAGGGTTTCTGCATGCATGTATTTTCTAGTTTAAATGTAATAGCTCTTTTTGTTTTTAAGTTATAGTAAATCAAACTGTCGTACCGTTTTTTTCCCCACCCGGTAGATGGTTAGTTTCAAAAGTCATACTAGTAATACGTAATAACTTGTTAAAACTTATAAATTTACCAAAAAATGTGTACCTCTAGAGCTACTGTAGGCTGAAATATTAAACTACCTGGCTCGTCCCCAGTTACTTAATCCCGCCAGTTGAATGATGGCAACAAAGTTTAATTTTTTTTCCTTAGGCATTGAAAGAACTTTCGACGCTATATACAATACTCAATACTACTTTTTTATATCTTGCTTACTTCTAAAAATATTTTGATCGAAAGGAATGAAATGTCCGCCATCATAAATTTTTGTAGATGTGCATGTCACGTCACAACAGAGGACACGCAATTTTCTTATCTAGAGAACCACAGTCAAAACTATACTCTGTCATACCCTTCGAAATATCAATATCACTCAAAACCTTTGAAACATCTACCAATCAATATTTGGTTAGCAACGAATACTTTTATATGGTTAGTCCTGTTGTGACGTAACCAAAACTACCGTTAATGAGATAAAAAATATATTCAAGATGGCGGGACATCTCATTACTTCAAGTATTTTTATTTCAAGAACTAAGCAAGATATGAAAAATCTGTAAAGGAAGTTAATATATAGTTTGAAAAGTTTTTTCAAATGATAAAATAGGAAATTATATTGCCATTTCCCTTTAAAATAAAGACTTTATATCTGAATCTGTTAATTAAAACAGGTTACGACAAGTTAAAGCCGTTTCGGCTTTCCAATTCACGTGGCTATTGATGGCTATAGCTGAAAAGTATTGTGGCTGGAAGTAGTGAGATCCAATAATTCACCTTCTATGCCTACACGACTTTTCCTTGACAGTGTTAAGCAAGTGAAAGGATGTCCACTTTTATTAAGAATCGAATCTGGGGATGGAGAACGCGGGATGATGGCAGCAATTCAATGCTATTTCCGAACGGATGCGTTTGACCCGCTAGCCGGGGAGAATGCACACCAATATATGGAACATCCACGATGAACCAAAGGATTGAGAATTGGTGGTCTCACTTCCGAAAAATGAGATCTCATTGGTGGATAAACATTTTTAAGGATATGTCTAGCTCAGGTGTGTTTAGTGATCTTGGCAATGACAAAGAATGTCTGTGGTTTTGCTTTTATCGTATTGTAAATGAGGATCTCCAGAAAACTAAGATATCATGGAATTCACACCACATAAGACCGTCAACACATGATTGTGTTTCCGGGTCTCCAGACGTACTTTTTTTCCTGCCTGGAAGATCAGGAGGGGTCGACAACCTGCAAATTTTTTCCAATGCTAAGATGGCGGAAATGGAACTTCAGCACTTGGTTAATGACGTGGTCGAAGATTATTACAAAGAGTACTTCCATTATCTGATGGAAAACAAGGGGATTCAATACCCAACAAGCCCAGAGGAAGCATTTAACATCTACCAGCCAGTAATAAACATAGCAGTCTCATAGATATAGTTCAATCAACAATTGATAGTTCATCATTAATTACAGTTGATTTTACATAACTTTTCCCTAAATGTTGCAAACTTTGCTGCAAAGTTTGTTGCGAAGTTCAAAAGTCCATAATCATATTCACAAACCGGTACCTGTTGTAAACAATGTATTTGATTGGCTTCTTTTAGTCCAGGACCTTTGTTCACAATCCAGCTTGTGAATTTCAATATGAACTTTTGAACTTCACAACGAATTTGGGAACGAAGTTCGCAACATTTAGGGAAAATTATGCGAAATCGACTGTAATTGACAATTTTAAGTACAATATATAGACAGAGATAAGAATGTTCAGGTAGATTTATCAGAAATTGGCTAGGTTGTAGTAGTAGTATACAAAGTGGGGTTCTGAGACGGGTGGTGCGGGTGGTGCTAAGCACAACCCATGACGTCATCACAATATCATATCATACTGATTATACGCACTTGTAATGTATACCGCCAAACTCATTAACAGTCATTAATGGATACAAGCAAAATTTTAATCTTTTAAGCGCTTATTATGGATAAATAGGGATTATTTATTACCTTAAAATCGGGCGGGTGGCTTTGCAGGCAAAAGTTCGCAGAAGATTTCACTTTTAATATACATTTATTTCTTCAAAATATTTTACAAAGTTATGCTTCTAATATATATCTTCACTCTTTTGAAATGTTTAGGGTGAAACTAATTAAAGGATTAACTTTTATCAGAGATTTGCATTTTCTACTGTTTGGATAAATACGGGTAGATTAGGATATTCATTGCGCGGGTGTCGCGGGTTATCCATGCGGGTTGGAAACACAACACTAAGGAGGCTTATATTGGAAGAGAGAAAGCAATTTAGACAAGACAGGAGCGCTTTGCAGCCAAAAGTTTACACAAGAATTCAGTCTTAAAATACATTTATTTCTTCGAGACGTTTACAGAGTTAATGTGGTCTACTTCTTAGAGCATAATATGTTTGATTTTATTTAAATTACGCACAACAATTTAAATGTTTTTTGTAATAAGAGTCGTTTGGCTTAATTGTTCATTCGCCATGGTTTCTATACTCCCAGCCCTACACCGACCCTACATCGACCTCATACCGACCCTACCTTGACCCTACATCGACCCCACATCGCCCCTACATCGCCCCTACATCGACCCTATATCTTTAAGCTTCCCGCTATATTGATATGTTCAACACAACTTAGGCTGGCAGCCGAGCTCCCTAGCCTCGGAGCCGAGCTACTTAGCTTCCTTATCATTATCTTCTTATTTTCCTTAGCTCTTTAGGCTGGAGGCTAGGGAGCTCGGCTCCCAGCCTAAGTTGTGTTGAACATATCAATATAGCGGGAAACTTATTAAGGATAAGGAAGATAAAAAGATAAAGATAAGGATAAGGGAGATAAAGATAAGGATAAGGAAGATAAAGATAAGAATAAGGAAGATAAGAAGATGGAGATAAGGAAGATAAAGATAAGGATAATAAGATAAAGATAAGACGATAACGAAGATAAGAAGATAAAGATAAGAATAAGGAAGATAAAAAGATAAAGAAGATATGAAGATGAGGAGATAGGAAGATATGGAAAATAAAGATAAGGATGATAAGGAAGATAAAGATAAGGAAGATAAGGAAGATAAAGATAAGGATAATAAGATAAAGAAGATAAGGATAAGGAAGATAAGAAGATAAAGATAAAAAGATAAAGATAAAGAAGAGATAAAGATAAGGATAATGAAGATAATGATAAGGAAGATAATGATAAGGAAGATAAAGATAATGATAAGAAAGAACCATTTATAATTTTTTACGACGGCATGTGGGTGTGATGTAGGGTCGATGTAGGATCGATGTGGGGTCGATGTAGGGTGGATTTGGGGTCGATGTAGAGTCGATGTAGGGTCGATGTGGGATCGATGTGAAAGTCAATGTAGGGTCGATGTGGGGTCGATGTAGGGTCGATGTAGGGTCGATGTAGGGTCGATGTGGGGTCGATGTGAGGCCGATGTAGGGTCGATGTAAGGCTAGGAGTATAGAAACCATTGCGAATGAACAATTAAGCCAAACGACTCTTATTACAAAAAACATTTAAATTGTTGTGCGTAATTTAAATAAAATCAAACATATTATGCTCTAAGAAGTAGACCACATTAACTTTGTAAACGTCTCGAAGAAATAAATGTATTTTAAGACTGAATTCTTGTGTAAACTTTTG